TCAAGTACTTTGGCAAAACAAAAATAAAACAAAAGATCATAGTCCCTCGATGACGCTATCTGAGTTGCCCAAACAAAATGATCAAGTCCCTCAAGAAAATTGCCAAAAATACTTGACACTATTGCTATCATGGTCTATACGATGACCCGCGCCTGTCCCGTTAACATCCTAACACAAGTTTGTTCATCAAATACAATGGTGAAACAACACTGTTAAAAGGGTTAAAAACATAAGAAAGATCTTTGAGTAAAATAGGGTAGACAACTCTTAGTTACTTGATCAAGCTTGCAAAAAACATCCTTGCTACTTTTCAAAACACACTTCACAACACAATTTCAAAACCCTACTTTCAAACATTGGAAACTTTTCAAAGGACAAAAACACCTTTGTATACATTCAAACAAGAATCATTACAAAGGTTGCCACAACGATGGCCTCTTTTCAAAACATCTTTCAAAACCACACACAAAGCACCATTTCAAACAATTGAAGAGCACCATTTCAAACAATTGAAAAGCAAAGCAAGTGATCTAAACAAGTAACTAAGAGCCCATGGATAACCATGGATAGAAAGGATGCTAATACCTTCCCTTTCTATAATCTACTCCCCGAACCCAAGAAAACATCTCAAAGGTCTTTCCTGTGCTTTTTGACCTTTCCTTTTGATAAAATAAAAAGTTGGTGGCGACTCTTGCTAAATTGAAACATTTGCAAACACAAACGCAAAATCCCAAGTCAGTTCTCCCACCGTATCACAGATAATATGAGATAATGAGAGGCCTTAGGGGCAAAAATTGGGGTATAACAGATGCAAGTTCAAAAAATTGAGAACTGGTGGTGGTGGTGGTGAATACACTTCTCGTGAATTTGCTAGATTTTGCAATGAGGAAGGTGTATAACATGAGAGAAAGAATCGAAGTATATTGAACATGATGATAAGTATATTGAAAGATAAAGATATGCCTAAGAGATTTTGGGTTGAAGCAACTTAGACAATAATATACATTCTAAACAGGTGCCCAATGAAGAAGATGGTCGAAAAGACACCATATGAGGCTTGGTCTGGGTCGAATCCAAATGTTAGTCATCTTAGAATTTTTGGATCAATGTGTTTCAGTAATATACCTGAACAACGGAGAAAGAAACTAGATGATTGAAGTCGAGCTATGGTTCTCATAGGTTACCATTTGACTGGTGCATACAAACTGCATTTCACCAAATGATGATAAACTAGTGATCAGTCGAGATGTTCTAGTGGATGAAAGCAAAGGGTGGGACTGAAGTCAAGGGCCAGTTCAACAGGAATCAGATACAGTTACAACTGTGTTTGAAAAAGATCAATAAACTGAAGCCACAACCAGTCAAAATGAAGAACCACCTGAGCAAAATGTAAGAAGATTGATTAGAGCAAGAACTGAGTCGACAAGGTGTTAATATATAAATTTAAAGTTTTTGTATTCTGATTGTCAACCAAATTATATTCAGCTGATTGATGGATGTCAAAGGAATTCGAGTTGGTGCTACAGATAGTAGGGTGATTTCGAAGGCTTCAATTTCAACAAGAAGTGTCATATGTTATAAGACATTCAAAAAGTCATTCAGAAAAGACATTCGAAGAAGTCATTCAAAGAGTCAAATACTGACATATTATGTCGATCAAGCAAACAAATCATACAAGGAAGTTATCATAAATTATTAAAAGTAGTTATCTAAAGGGACATGTGTCAATCTTAGATTAATGAAGTTATTAAATAAGACACTTGTCAAAATATTAGATGTAGGAAGTTGTTTCCTTTTCTCTATAAATAGTTGTAATTACTACTATGTATTATGGTTGGATCCTTTTTTCTGAAAGCCTTGTAACACCGATACCGCAGGGGAAAACGGGTTCAGGAGTGGACAAAGATGGATTTCAGCCACCCTTTACACTCTCTGCAATTTAAGATTATTTTGTTCGTTGCTTTATTTTCCTTTTTCTTTTGCAATTATGTATTTTTCATCTTCTTTATTTTTCATTCTTTTGAATACTCACGTGAGTGTTATTTATATTAAGTTGCCATGAGACAACATGTTTTCATAAAAGTTGTTGGGAGCAATTATAACACTAATAAGAACAATGATTTTTTTCTTAAAGAACAAATAAACTGATATCATAAATCGTGAGACTTGAACGAATATTGTAAAAGGACTTTTATCCAGTCCTAAAGTGTTGATGGATCATGATTGTTTACATTACCAGAAATCGTGTAAACACAAGGATAGCTGGATATGAGAGATTTCCATATCAAGCAGTCGATGAAGATGGGGACTTAATTGAAGAAGTTATGATGATGGTTGAAGCAGAACCAATTGATTTAGATCCAACCATGAGTGATTCAAATTGGAGTGAAGCCATGAAAGAAGAACTCAGAGAAATTGAGAAGAACAAGACTTGGGAGCTTGTCGAAAGATCTAGAAAGAACCCAATCGATGTAAAGTGGATTTACAAGTTGAAACAAAGACCAAATGGTGAAATTACCAAGTATAAGGATAAATTAGTGGCGAGAGGTTTTCAATAAAAACTTGGTATCGACTTTGACGAATGGACTATAACAGAATTGTTGTATCGACATTAACGTATAGAGAATGGAAGATACATCAGTTGGATGTAAAGTCAACATTTATGAATGAACCATTGGAAGAAGAGGTATATGTTACTTAACCACTGGTATTCAACATCAAAGGGCATGAGTCGAAAGTGTACAGATTAAGGAAGACTCTCTATGGTTTGAAGCAAGCTTCTAGAGCTTGGAATAAGAGAATAGATTGCTTCTTGATCGAAGAAGGTTTTACAAAGTGTGTCTCTGAACATGGAGTGTATGTAAATGATGCTAATAGTGTCAGTCAAATCATTTTATGCCTATATGTAGATGATTTGTTGATCACAACAGCAGACAAAGCTGAGATAAAGAAAGTCAAGTCTATACTGATGTAGGAATTTGAAATGTACGTCCTAGGAAATCTGTCATATTTCTTAGGGATGGAATTTAAAGACACGAGTGAAGGAGTATTTTGCACCAAAAGAAGTATGCTTAAGATATCTTGAAGAGGTTCAAGATGCTCAACTATAATGCAGCGGCCACGCCATTGGAAATTGGAGAAAAGTTGAAAAAGAAGACAAATGATGAATTTGTAACACTAGGCTCGACAATTGTCAAAGTGTCGGATTATTGAATCGATTCATTAAGAAACCACAAGAATGGCATCTCATTGCAGTGAAAAGGGTGCTGAGATACATAAAGGGTACAATTAATCATGGTGTGTTGATGCCAAAGAAGTCGAAGACCAGCACAAATGTAGAAGTCCATGAATACACTGATTCAGATTTCAGTGGAGATCAAGACGAAAAGAAGAGTACTATAAGCTACATTTTTATGATCGAAGGCGCTCCAATCTCTTGGAGCTCGAGGAAGCAAATCATTTTGGATTTGTCATCATGTGAAGCTGAATATGTATATGCATCATATGTTGCATGCCAAGAAGTATGGATTAAGATGTTGCTTGAAGAAATCAAGATAATGGAACCTAAGAAAATGAAGTTGTTTGTCGATAACAAGTAAGTTATCGACCTGGCGAATCATCCAGTGCGTCATGGTCGAAGTAAACATATAGAGATGAGGTATCATTTTCTGGGGGATCAAGTTAACAAAGGAAAGCTTGAACTTAAGCATTGCATGACAGAAGTCTCGAGAACATGAATTAGGTGGTGTGTTAGTTGTAATTCACGTTCTATCGAAATGCATAGTTGAAAGTGTTGAACTAGCTAGTAGGAGTTATAAAAGTCAGTTGTATTCGACAGAGTTGAATACAACATTTAAGATGTGTGTCGAAATGTATTTTGGGCATGGGCTTTAGTAGCCTATATAAAGGGAATTATATGTTGTAATTTGACACTACACTCATATCAGAAATAAGTTTTCAATATAGTTTTCTCTCTTACCTCTCTTCTTCTTCTCCTTCATCTTTCTTAAAATCCCTTTTATTCCAACCTCCATAACCAATTATTAGTCCAAGCATTTATAGTTCTACCATCTCCAACACTATAGCTGCAAAACTCCAAAACCTCTAGGATGCTTTTTATAATGTCCTTCCAAAGACTTGAATCAATACCTTTATAGTTTCTAATCATATCACCATCATGAAAACGGTATTTGCCTCGCAAATTTTACACCACAAATCTTTAGCATTACTTGTAACTTTCCACCTCAGCTTCATGAGGCACACAAAGTTTAAATCTTCCAAATTCCTGAGCCCAATTCCTCCAACCGCTTTTGTGTCGTTAACGTATCCCAGCCTATAGCATGGATCCTCTGCTGATCATCAGAATCTCCCCGGATAAATTTCCTCTGAAGTATATGAATCTTTTATCTATCTCATCATTTTTATTAATCCTCTGTTTTTTATTATAAATTATTTTGAAAAAAATATACTAAATTATAAATAGTTTACGATTACTAAGTAAGTAACATCATTTTTATATTATCATTCTTAAATATTTATTATTATTTTTACTTTTTAAAATTTATCTTTTCCGTATTATTATTAATAAAAGACAATATTATAGAATCTTTTAGAATTTCTCTTTTCATATAAAATAATTACATTTTTAATACTTGTAAAAATATTAAATCTTTTATAAGTTCTCTTTTCATATAAAATAATTACATTTTTAATACTTGTAAAAATATTAATTCCTAGTAAAAAAACAGAAAAACTACAGTAATTGAACATAAATATAACATAATACTAATTAAAATGTGAATGATATAAAAATTGAGAATAGAGAAAAAAACAATAAAAATGGAAAATCATATCCATATTGTATAAGATGTTAATGTCATATTATAAATATCAGAAACATTTTCTCTAAATTTAAAAGAAAAAACTCCCGTCTACTATTTTCTTCTTAAACTAATAGTAATAGTTAAATAAATCAATGGAAAAAAAAATAATGAAAATGGTCAAGAAGGTAACCAAGCAGAAGCAAAGATAACATTATGTCCTTTCCAAGTAAGCAAAAGAAACTCATCTTCTTTCTTGAATCCCCATCCCACTGCATGTTCATCAAGCATCCCCTTAACCTCGATAGTTAAATCTTCACTGAAACAAACCCCTTGAAAATGCGCATTTCTCATTCTTTGCTCCCACTTGGTTTTACCCTCAACTCTCTCAACTCTTTGAATCCCTTCGTATGCTATCACATTCTCAATCATCCAACAAACATCTGATTCATACCAATGCCTTTCTTTACTCCCTCGCGGTAGAAACGTGTCCACCGTGTCGAAAGGGATCCAAAGATAGTTAAATGCAGACCTTAGTCTAGTCACTAAATCACTCGAGGTTAAATCAGCATCTTCGTCTACCAAAACTACAATTGTCGGTTCTAAATCTCGCAGAGCTTCTAGAAACATCGACCGGAGCGAAGAAGATTTAGTATTCATATTCATATATAGAGTTTCTTCTGGAATATAATGAAGCATCATGTGACAGTTTATTACCAATGCTTCGTGAGTTATGTTATAAGCTAAATCTTGGACTTGTACTCGTAGGTGTTCGATCAAAGAAGCGAATCCATCTGCATAAGTTGAAGAAACTGCTTTGAATTCCATATTCACGTTTCTTGATTTAGCAAAACTAACGAGTTTCGAACCTAATTCGTCGTAAGAAAGATCAAGCAAAGGTGGGATTGGAATATGAACATTACTATTTCGAACTGCAACTGTGAGCTTGATTGAAGGAGGAACATCGTCGCGAGTAGCAATAGCGTCGATTAGTGTAGGAATCTGCATGCAATGTGTTAAACTCAAATCAACAATGTGAATAACAGAAAAACCTTTGGTGGCTTCTAGAATCGCGGAGTTTGCTGCTGTGTAACCGAAACGATGCCACGGCGTTAAATCGACGAAGCTGGCTAGTTCAATAACAGAGAAATTGTGTGTTTGTATGGCCAGGTTGCTATTATCGTTAAGATTGTTATCTTCTTGTTCTAGCATTTTGCAACTACCGGTTTTGGTGAGAATTCGTGTGGTTAGAGCTCGAATGAAGCTTGCGGCTAAGCGTTGATTGGAGTCACCTTCTTGGGGAGTTGTGTTGTTAAGGACCCAAAGGATTTGTTGTGCTTGTGTTGCATTGTTGGTTTCTATGGCGTTGGCACATTGAACGAGTAAGTGTTCCATGCGATTGGTTTTGTTGAAGATGTGTAAGGGAGATTCTTAACAGGGAGTAGTAGTTATAGGGATTTGGTTTTTGGTGGAAAAGTATTTGGTCAAAAGGTGAAAATGTTGGTGAGAATTGCGGCATTGATTGGTTAAAGTGACTATAAAATATGAGAAAGAGATAGAGAACAAAGAAGTTACTATAGCACCGACACAATACTTGCAAAATATATTTAATAATTTATAAGATAAAATAATGTAACTAAATTTGCTCATATTAAACACTTATTACAAAATGATACTACTTTTTTTATAAAAGATAATTTATTTTTTAGATTTATTAAATATGTTTGTAGATTAAATATATTAATTATTTAATGAATATAAAAATTAAATTATTTTTTATAAAATAGAATTTAATCCGAAATCTTAACTTAAAATTCAACTTTAAAAATATAATACTATCCCGTCTTTTGTACAAAAGTTGTTGGGTTATTTGAGATTAAATTTTTTTTTGTTTAATCAATTAATTCGATTCATTGAATTAATCTGATTTTCCAGAAAAATAATTCACATTAAATATCTGATTTTCCAGAAAAATAATTCACATTAAATTTTTGTGCTACATTTGAATAGAAGATGTCGACTGATACAATAAAAAATATTAAACATAACTTCAGAGAGAGAGAAAGCAAGTTAGAGATATAATAAGTCTTTTTTAAAGAAGAAAATTGTTGATTTATAAATTATAATGACTTATCTACACAAAATTACTAGGATTCAAACCTAGGTCAACAATTTATACATATTTAATTTAATTAACAGATTATTTGTTATTAACTATAACATTCATTTTAAATATTAGTAAATCTATAATTATAAATTCTATCATTATTTTTTAAATAAGTTATAAAATTTTCTTATATTAGTTAATTTGATTGGATGAGATAGCTCCACTAATACATATTAATTGAGTTAAAAAATATAAATGATTGATTTATGGTTTAGTCAAAATACAATAATATTTATTTATATTTATATATTAATGTAAATAATTGATATATATATATATATATATATATATATATATATATATATATATATATATATATATATATATATATATATATATATATATATATATATATATATATATATATATATATATATATATATATATATATATATATATATATATATATATATATATATATATATATATATATATTAATTGGATAAGTTATAAAATAAGTTATACAATTTTCTTATATCAATTAATTTGATTGGATGAGGTAGCTCCACTAATACATATTAGTTGAGTTAAAAACTATAAATGACTGATTTATGGTTTAGTCGAAATGCGATAATATTTATTTATATTTATATATTAATGTAAATAATCGGTTGATATTTCCTTATTATTATTAAGTTATTTTAATATATTTGAAATTATATTAAATATGTGCTTGTTTGGAGGGATCATCATAAATGATTAAAGTGTGATGTTCATGGTATATAAAATATTCAGTAAGAGCTTCTCCTATATAAGACGCGAGGTATTGTAATGTAGCTGGAGAATTTGTTGTTTCAGCCACTATAATAGTGTATTCCATTGCTCCTCTTTCTTGTAAAGAAGCTACGATTTGAGCCACAGAAGATATTTTTTGACCAAAAACTACATAAACATATACTACATTTTGTCTCTGTTGATTGAGAATCGTATTTGTAGCTACTGCTATTTTACCAGTTTGTCTGTCCCCAATAGTCAATTCTCGCTGGCCACGCCTTATATGGATCATAGAATCAATAGAAATAAGTTCTGTTTGAAGGGGCTCATACACGGAACGTCTAGAAATAATATCGGGAGCGGGAGATTCAATTAACCGAGATTCCGATGCTGAAATTTCTCCTCGACCCTCAATATTTTTAGCTAGGGAATTTACAACACGACTCAAATAACCCTCACTTAGCGGTATCTGAGAAATTCTTCTTGTTGCTTTTATGGAACTTCCCTCTTGTATCATCAAACCATCACACATTAATATAACACTAACATTTTTTATTCCAAATTCAAAGCGTATTGTACGCACCAGAGCTGGAGCAATTCATGGAAAGCATCCTTATCTGATTAAAGAACGGAGAGTATCATCTCCTAGGGCCTGACCCTGTGATGTAGAATCCTTTGCTCTTTCACGCATTGATCTTGATCCGGGTTTCAATTTCTTTCTTTTTTTCTCAGCCTTGCACCCGATAATTACAGAACTTGAAGTCTTGCTCGTCTCTTTCATTGACTTGGAAAAGATTTTATGTGATAGAAGGACACTCTATCAAAGGCCTTGATCCAGCTCTCGCTTCTGTATCAACAATAGGCCTTCACTCTACTCTCTCGTCCAGATCCTCCGTTCTAGGTCCAAGCTTACGCAAGGATGGGAAGGAGACCATGACTCCATAATTTATAAAATAAGAAAAAGAAGTTTTTCGTAAAACATTATTTTTTTCATTCCTATTCATGTATTTGATTTCAACAAAATCAACTGATTTTCTTAAAGAATCAAAATTCTTGGTAAAAACAAGAATTTGGATGATTTCTTAAAATGAAATGACTAAAATAGCCATTGATAATAATGATCCACATAAAAGAGTTGCATAGCCCAGTATCATCATACTTACGTGCATCATTAGCCAATGGAATTGTAGAGCGGGTACTAATATTACGAATTGATGCATTTTAGTTAAAAGATACGAAGTCGCAAAGTCTTGGATAAAAATAACACTAGGTGCAATTATTGTACTTAAAAGGTTTTTCTCCTTTTTAAAAAAAGGACCATATAAAAAATTGAAAAACCCCCATAAAAGAAAGATTAGGGATTCATATAAATCACAAAATGGTAAATGCTCCAAAAAAAATCAACGAGTAATTAACAATCTCGTTACACAGAAAAAACTTATTATCATAGCTTTTTTGGACAACTCATATAATCCTACGATTTCATTGTCTAATAAAATTATCAAATGAATTGAAATAACAATTGATAACACGGAAAACGACATATGAGTTAATATATACTCTAAAATTATATATGTGTGTGTGAGAGAGAGAGTGAATATAGTGGATAGAGAACAACACAAAAAAAACAAAAATAGAATAATACATTTATGGTGTTATGTCAATGTCAATATCAAACACCTTCAAAGGGAAGTGATACAGTGCCAAGAAAAGGGAATGGATTTTTTTCATACTTGATTTTCACATGATTGGATATTTAAAATTAGATTGAAATGAATGAAATAGTTTGAGTCCCAATAATAAAAGAGCTTCTATTAAAGACGTAATTTAGATAATATTGAAATCGATTTTTAGGTACAAACAACGTTTAGTTTCTTTTTTATGAGAATTAAAGTGTGAGAGCCAACAAAAATTAGAATGAAATGACCAAATAAATATTATGGTCTTTAATATAAATAAAAAAATTATTTTTAAATTTATTAAAAAATTAATATATTTTAATTATATATATATAGTTCAAATATGTTGATTTTCTAATAGATTTAATAGAAAGAAATACTGTTCAATTTTCCACTACTGTGAATGAGAGTAGCTGATTCACATTTTATTCATTCGGTGTGAAAATCAACATGAGATGGTCCATTCTCAAAAGGGGAATAGATTGACTCACTTGTAAGTTTCATAGTAGAGTAAAACAGTAATGAATAGGAGATACATCAGAGGGGAAAAGAAAGCGACTGCAGAAAATGATTCAATTTGTGGTGAATTTAGCAGTAGAGTTTGGGAAAATTTTGAGAATGAATATAAGGAAAATAGACATTCCAGCTTTTTGATACGTGTACTGTAAGACAAGTCATAGGGAAAACTCAGTTCCCCAAAAATACTTATTAAGTCAATTTCGGATGTAAAAGAAGACCATTCTTGGTGGTAAGGATTTTGTATACAGGTTTTTTCAGATGTGTAAAAGAACAGTAGTAGGAAGTATCCATTGGAGAATCTAATCCAATTTCCACTCTTGGGAGGTAGTACATTGTTTGTATGTGAGAGTGGGGTTCCTATTTAGTTTAAGGACTGAAGTTGTTAAGTTTATTACATTTTTAGGCAATTTTTTTCTTGCGGCTCCTATATACAGAAACAATCTAACAGTAGTGATTTTTGACATGGAATGGTTTTATATATATATATATATATATATATTTGTGCCCATTCCGTCATTAGAAAATGCACAACAAATACCAAAACAACCCAACCAAAGAGAAAGTGAAAACGATAAAAAAAAAAAAAAAACTATATAGCACGATCACCGATACAAAACACCAAAAACTGAACCACCGATACATCTAAAAATTATGAACCACTTCAAACATCTAAAAATCTTATACTTAAAAGATATCTATCAAGAATGGTGGAAAACTCCATTGGAGCAAAACAGAAGAAACATAATTCCAACAGAATTCCAAATGTATGCTAACAGAAAAGAATAAGGCAAGCAAAGAGTAAAGTGCTTACTGTTGCATTGAATGAATCTATTAAAACTGTACAAGTGGTCATTATATAATGTATGCATAAGCCTAGATTAAATAACAGCCATTGGATCAAGATAATAAAATAGAAAACTAATCTATTATCTAAGCTAAGAGGCCCCCTCAAGTTGGACTATGGATACTGCATAGACCCAACTTGGACAAAATGGAGGACAAAGTTGGTGAATGTAATGGCTTAGTAAACATGTCCGCGAGCTGATCCACTGTAGAAATAGGCAAAAGGTGCAAGAGCTTGGACTGAATCTTCTCACGTATAACATGGCAGTCAATTTCTATGTGTTTACTACGCTCATGAAATGCAGGATTGTGAGCCAAGTAGATAGCGGACTTGCTGTCACAATAGACTGAGGCAGGTTGAGACAAAGTGATGGTGAGATCTTTGAACAAATACTGAAGCCACTGAAGCTCACAAGTCAAGGATGCTAGGGCACGGTACTCTGCTTCAGTTGAAGAACGTGACACTGTGTTCT